TTTGAATGGCTAGAAGAATGTAAGCAATTCTCATCTGGACAACCCGTAGCTCTAAAATCTGGCAATGGTGGCAGTTGCAGTGCATTAAATTCCCTTAACTGTTGTTGGGTATATTCTGCACTTATACGGAGTTCTAAGCTTTGACCGATTTGTACGTCATTTGTCTGATGATTTCTGCTTAAATCGATAATTTGTAAAGTAATTTTTGGCATCGGATGACACGAATCACTAATATTGTAGTGTAAAGAGCCCTCATTGAGCAGAAAACTGAAAAGAAAAGCAAAGAGAAGAAAAGATAATCACTTAAATAATTGTGGATTTTGGAATTGAGTGTTAATGAAACCTTCCTACCGAGAAGTAGTAGTTTTAATTCTTTTTAATTAACCCGGGGTTTGCCATTGGAAATCGTATATATATATATATATATATACATTCATATATATTTGTTAGACAAAATTCACATCATAAACTCTGTTGCTTAATTTTTTTGTGCCTACTTTTCTTATATGATGCGTCCTTCTTCGGATATGTCCTTGCAGTTTCCTCTATGGCTGACAAGCTTTGAAGATTTGGCAAAATGATCACAGGGAGTAAGAAGGAGAGTCGCGGACTTTTGTTATCGATAGATATTGTGGCTTTTTTTTTATTGTGTCGTGTCAAAAAGTCAGAAAGGAAGACGGATATTGAGGGATGAAATGAGTTAGTTATCTTTGAAATAAGAGAATTAAAAGAAAATTGATAACCGCATCTGGCTCTTTGGGTATATGAGATTGGATTTCTCGCGAAGGATTTAGAAGGAAGAACTAACGCTCCTGTTTCTAATAAGACTTATTAGTCAATGTGTTTATGAAAAAAAAAATCTTCGCGAAGGAAATGAAAGACATTTGTATTTTTGAATGATTTAAATATACTGTTGAGGGCAGTTATATGCTGGCGACCTAATATCTAATACTAAATGTTTTTATGCATATTTTGAGTTGATTATGATTCTGACAATGGGATATCATCTTGCTTTCTACTTTGCTTTTTTTTTTTTACTTTATTTTTATATTACTTGCCTCCTTGAAAAATCCAAAGACGATTCTAAGGCTATGGCGTTCGGCATCATTTCTTCTTCGGGTTTCAGCGTATTTTCATCTCGATTATTTGCTTTATCGTCATTTTTACCAGAGAACTCTTTCGCAGTAACGTTACTCATAATGCAACCAACTTTTATTAAACGATCTCCCTGCGTTTGAACGTTTCAATTATTTTGTATAACCACTAAAGTTGAGATAAAAATTCTACAAAAAGGTAAATATATGTTTTATTAAATCTCTTGTATATAGTCCTACCCCCTACCTTTGATAATTTTTTGTCACTTCATAAGCCCTTAACATGCCGCATTTATTTTCTTTTGCTTCGCTACCAATTGTTAAACGTAGCAGTGTGCTTTTCGTTCCATTGCCTTGAATCATGCAATCTTTCGACTGCTGACTGACATACATTTTCCCCCGGAACCAATCTTTAGGCGTGTACTTGATAATCATATCTCGTACGTGCAGATAACATGTACTATCCAAAATATTTATAAATTTAATGTAATAAAAAAAAAGAAGAAATAATAACAATAATATAACAGTGCAACAGTACACATCATGAGAAAATTTACCGTCCAAACATTTCACTCTTCTCATATAAACTGAGTTTTTTCGCAGTTTTAAACTTCTTAATTATATCTTCAGAATGGAGCAAACATTCAGATCTATCAATATCATCTTCATATCATCTTCATAATGAAATGATACGCCCTGACAATAAAATTTTGTCTCACGGGAACACAATCATACATACTCGCTTTTGTACGCTTACTCTTGAAAGTGGTACAATACATGTAAACTTATCTAGAATTGTAAACAAAAGTATTCTCTCAGATGGTTGAATTTTTATACATGCGACAGCTGTATGAATTGGAATTTCTATACAAATTACTGAGAACATATACGCTTAATCTCGCATCGATGGATTTTTTACAAAGGCTTGTTGAATTATTGAGTACAAATATGCGCTTATTCTCGAAAGTCGTACAATACATGCAAGATGATTGAGAATTGTTAACAACCGTATTCAGACATTCTCAGTTGTATGGAATTTGTATACAAATGATTGAGAACGAATATGCGTTTATTCTCTAAAAAATTTATTATACGACCAAAAAAGTTTATTATACGACCAAAAAAATTTATTATACGACCAAAAAATTTATTATACGACCAAAAAAATTTATTATACGACCAAAAAAGTTTATTATACGACCAGAAAAATTTATTATACGACCAGAAAAATTTATTATACGACCAAAAAAGTTTATTATACGACCAAAAAAATTTATTATACGACCAAAAAAGTTTATTATACGACCAGAAAAATTTATTATACGACCAAAAAAATTTATTATACGACCAAAAAATTTATTATACGACCAAAAAAATTTATTATACGACCAAAAAAGTTTATTATACGACCAAAAAATTTATTATACGACCAAAAAAATATTATTACATGTTAATCCACATGTGGCATAGGGTTGCAATTGTGGAGAATACAAAAAGAGCACTGCAAATATTCTATTGCTATGCGTTGCGCATTGGGTCCGACGATACCTTTATAACTTTTCTCTCATAAAAGCCTTTGGGATTTCACTCATTCGCTGTTCTCTCTCATCCAAGCCATCGTTTCGTTTAATCTGTCTCTGCACGCACAAATTTGCAATGGATTATTGTAAAACATAAACCAGTTGCATTAAGCAAAATCCACCCTTATATTAAACAGACGAACTTTAGATTTTTTTGCTTTTAGAATTCTTCTCTCTTGTTTTAATTATTACGTTAAGAAATTATGAAAAGAAAATCGTGTTAGCGGTGTTGTGCTATTTCATGATTTATTGTTCCTTGCCAAAGACAAATGATAACATTAGACCGAGAGAAACTCCGTCCACTTAAATACATGAACGTTCCAATTGTTAACAAAACGACTGTGTGTTCCTAGTCGAGACTCTTGCCTACTCGGCCACTCAGGCGGATAGTGTTAGCTTAACAACACATGGAACAAATGAGTTATCGAAACACATTTGTTTTTAGTAGAGATTCATCATTATACTGAGGCCAAAATATGGTTGAAAATGTATTATCAAAAAGCTGCAAAAGCTTGCCAACCAATAACAGTAAACAAAATCTGTTAATTTTCGGATCATAATGAGATGTTAAGATTGCAAGTTAGTTAAAATACGACATAGATAAATCGCGCGCATTAAGCAAAGTTGTTTTAATAAACTTTAAAGAAGTCGATATTGAGATTAAGTGATAGACATCATTTAGGTTTCCGCAAACAACTCTGAGCGGGTTAAATAGATCATAATTATATTTACATTAACTTAGCTTGATGAAAATAAAGTGGCTAAAGAAGTGATGTGGGACATTGAAGCTTATTTCACCAAATAATGTGGACGAATCGATAATACCATTAATTAACTTAATTAAGAAAGCAGGCATTGACATTGACAAGTTTGGCGAGAAATATATCCTTTTTTATATTACTTTTTATGTTATTATATATTACTAAAAACTACGTAAAATGAGTTTATACTCCTATAATTTCTTCAAAAAATTAGAATTTTAAAACATATAAAAACATAAACATATGCGCAAAATGCAACAACAAAATACACAATTTTTTCTTTTACTCTCAAAAATACAGGAGTGCATTTTACGCTCAAAACAGAATTTTATTATTCTCAGTGGACTCTCTCGTTGTGTGCTTCTTAGAAATCTCATATGGCACCAAATTCAGATTCGCTCATTTTATTATTTTCATATGGCACCAAACTCAAAGTCGCTCATTTTATTATTCTCATATGGCACCAAATTCAAAAATCATTCGGTAGGCCGCTTTAAAAATAAGTATCCACAGAGTTGCCGTTAAAAGAAAGTTTTCGCGGAATGATGGATGTTACTTTACTTACACTCCCGCATTGTGTTTGAACTAATTAATTAAAAATTGAATTAATTACATAAGAACATTATCAGGAAAAAACACGTACATCGGACATTTTTGAATTTAAGTTCTTCCTAGCTTTTGACTAAGAGGCAAAAGTAGTTACTAGAGCTGAAACTACGTATGTGCAATTTTTACGTTATGTTTTTGTTAGCTCATATTGATCATATACCATAATTACTATTTCAGTCAACTTTGATACTAGCATTTTTTCTTGTTGTCGTGTATATTCGTATTTGTGCGTAGCTGAAACAATTCGTACTGTTTGTTTTTCTTTATACTATATAAAATACTTTGCAATATGGCGTTATTGTTTGGTTTAACGGACTAGTAACCTGGACGATTTTACTATTATTATTTGTATTAGATCCCCTAATATCAGCCGGCCCAGTAGGCAAAATTCTTTTCTAGCAACTCAGTAGTCGTGGGTTCAAATCTCAAGTGCGGTAGAGTTTCTAACGAAGCCGACAGCCTTAGTTAGTGCTATAGGATTTTTGTCTTAGAATTTATTCTCTGGTTAAGGTAATAATAATAATAATAATAGTTATCCTAATCGGTAAGTAACAATATACTGTAACGAACGGTGCGATTTTTAGCACAGTAGTTATTGGAAATATTATTACAAGTTAATTAAATTAGGTTAGATTAATTTTCTAACAATGTATGGGCAAGATACGACATGTAAAATTTTGCAACACACAGGTTACATAATTGTTTTATGTATTACACTGTTTTAATAGTTTCGTACAACTTTTATTGTAATCTATTATTAATTATTATTAATTATTAATGGTTAATTAACAATTCAATAATAATTTTTGTGTTGCATAAGTTGCTGCTACTTTTGTTTCTTGATATGTTTAAAGCAGCAAATTCCAAATTATTTGGAGTTGGCAGTTCTTTTATAAACGAAAAACGCAAAGACAACACTGCTTATCACGAAATTTATACATTTGTATATGTGAAACAACAACTCGTTACTAAAAAATATTGTAAATATCCCGTAAAATTTCCATTAAAGTGCATGAAATTAACAAAAGTTCTCCAAATCCTTGGAATTCATTCAGTTTTCACTGGATTAGTGACTAAATTATTTAGTTTTAAATCCAGTTTCCATCTATTTTTATAATTAATCCAAAAAAGTACAGTGTTTTCTTTCTAGTTTAACTAAAAAGTTTCGCGTGTGATTGTATGAGCTCGTTTTTACAACACTATCTTCACAACTCTTCATAACAAAATATATCGAGTTAGAAGTGAAAAGACGCGCAATTATTACTTTTTCCAAATTAAAGCGAGAATTGAGAGGGTGTTCATAGGGCTAATACAATAAATCTGGAGGAATTGTGGCAGAAAATGGATGAGGCCCTCTTTTCGGCCACCTATGTGGACAATTACATTGATTCGGTTGAAAATCTGCCGGATGACGTGCAACGCCACTTGTCAAGAATACGTGATATTGATGTGCAATATCGGAGTAAGTTTTCAGTTTATATATTATCATAAAATTTCTTAAAACAAACTGGGTTTGAATTACGTTACAGACCTTTTACGTGAAGTCGATCACTACTACGATTTGTGGAGATCTTTACAAAATTGTGGTGACGCTAGCTCGGGACGTCGAGCCCGCTCGGTTAGTCGCATGCAACAGAGTTTAATACAGGCTCAGGAGTTAGGCGACGAGAAAATGAAAATTGTAAATCAATTACAAGAATTAATTGATCATAAAACTCGACAGTTGGACACGGATCAAAAAAACCTCGATATTAAGGAGGACAAGGAAGATATCATGCAAATGCAATTGGACGATTGTGATGCACCACCGGCGCAAAAGCAACCGCGAACACAAAGTCCAAGTCGGAGCGGTGAACAAAGCGCTTCGTCAGCTGCTTTGGCCAATAGTAATGGAGGTAAGATATTGTTACAATTCCAAAAATGTGTAACTTGTATTTAAATTCTTAGGTTATGGTGCTATTGTGACAAATTCATCAGCCTTGGGAGGAGCCGTTGGAACCAGCGTTGTTGTCAACTCCACAATCAATTCTGAACGTTCGGCGGCTAATGCAAACTTGTCGCTTGCTAATACCAATACGAACGGTAATAATAGCAGTATAATCATCAGTGGCGGTGCCTTGGAGAATCAACGTAAGCGTTCACGTCGCCGTCATGACACTTCTGGTACTATGGAAATGGGTGGTAATGAATCGAATTCAGCTAATGAGGCCGGTAGTAATGGTGATCGCACTTCAATACAAAAATCCTCCACTACAAGTGCAACACAAAAGAAGAATTCAAACCAAAATCAAACTGGGGCGTCAAGTTCAGTTGGTGGTTTAGGAAATGTTGCTAGTGCTAGCGGTGGAGCTAATGCCAGTGGCAGTGCTGGTAATAATACGTCAGGTAAAAAGAAGAAACGTAAGGCACGAGGTGCTCAATCATTAGCCCAGGCTAACGCGCGCGAAGAAACGCCACCACCAGATCCCATCGATCCTGATGAACCTACTTACTGTGTTTGCAATCAAATTTCTTTTGGTGAAATGATTTTATGCGATAACGACTTGTGCCCGATTGAATGGTTCCATTTTTCTTGCGTTTCATTAGTCCTTAAACCTAAAGGTAAATGGTATTGTCCGAATTGCCGTGGTGATCGTCCTAATGTTATGAAACCCAAAGCTCAATTTCTTAAAGAACTCGTACGTTACAACAAAGAAAAAGAAGAGAAGACATAAACAAAAAATTTTTAGTTCATTTCAATCATCTATTTACGGATTCGCAACAAGTGGACTTTTTTTTTACATATTTCATTAACGTTTTTGTAAACTAAAGTTGATAAAGGAATGTATAAAGGAAAGGTAAAAATTGGGAACTGGGCAAAACTTAGGTTAAACTTTTGTACAGTTACAGTTTTCACACACAGAAAGTTCGCATAGATATACGTTATATTGTGAGTTTATTTTCTCCTTTTATATTTTAATATCATTATTATTTAATTATATAAGTAGTTGATAATGTAATGTTAAAAGTATAAAATCGGAATTATCTCGATCAATAATCCCTTAATGATACACGCGTATTTTCAAATTTTTTGAAGTACAACCAGTACACACAATTGCAAAGGTTTATATAACTCTCATAAGGAAACTAGTTGTCAACAACTAATTTTCTTATTTTAAACGAATAAGGAATTTTCTTGGTTTTTATAAATTTCTTTAAGTTTAGTGAATTTTCATTTTCATAATTCTTTTTACGTTAGCATTATTTTTTTTCTAAAAGTTTAAATTGAGCATACATTTAAGTTTATATGCTTAAAGCAAGGCTATTCAAAATGTAAATTAATTGTACTTTGAAATAAAAACACATATATTGAAGTACTAGTTTTAAATAAATGTAATAAAGGTGTTTTAGTTTTCCAAGAACGAAAATTATATCGTTCGGATACTTGTGAGTATGTCTTGTGCAGCCGTTGAAAATAAATTAATTCACGGTATTTAAAAGACTCTAGATTCTTAGAAATGATGTCGCAGCTGGAACGGCATTTTGAAGAAATAGTTGCACGGCGAAAAATTACGATTACATTGCTTGCATACCGCTTCTACTTCATAAAAAAAAAGACTCATAAAGTTATTTATAAACACAACCGTCTCGATCCTTCCAGCGAGGTTCTCCTGCTAATCCAAAAAGTTATTTTAAACGAATGGAAGGACGAGTATCATGTTTTAGTTAGAAAAAAAAAGTGACCGGTTTTTTTACAAAATTTACTCTTTTTTTTCACACCTTTTACCTAAAGGAAAATTTGCAACATGGGAGTTTAAAATACCTCATAGAAATATTCAAAAATATGCGAAAATCGAACGCCAGGTCTCTAAAAATTTACTAAAATTAGTCAGAAGACGTTCAAGGGGAGATAAATGCTCTTTTTTTACACAATTATATATATAAGATTATATATTATATAGAACCACTTGTACGAATATATCGAAGAATTAACAGGAAATATTCAAAAATATGCGAAAATCGATAACATATCCGCGGATGCTTAGACAAAGAATTTATAAGCAAACTTGGTCAGTTTCATGACGAGGCGCTAATGTTGATACCCTTAATTGCCGTTGGCAAAAGAGCGGCTTATTCGAAAGACGGGAATTTCTTGGGACATTTTATTGAAAATACCAATTTTCCAGTCTTATCTACACCCATTGGAAAAGATCTTCTGCTCGAACATTAACTTGGCAAAGAGCTTACGCAATTTTGCTTTAAGGAGCTAGACTTAATTGGAAGTCATTACGTGCAAGTACGTTACTTAGAAATCATATAACAGGTAAAATTTGTTTAAACATCCATTTTCATGTTGATATATGTAACGAGGAATTGAACATTAAGACGGAAATGAGTAATGCTGATGAAACTGATATTGGGGATAGTGATATCGATGGGGACCAAAGTAACGTGGAAAATATTAACACATCAGAAAAATCACTAACGAAAATATTAAATTAGGCTCGCCTAACTACTAACTACTAATTTCGTTAACATAACATACATAATTTTTTAGGAAAATTGAATCTGCCTAGTTACTTACGTTTAAGTAATCGTAATAATATAGTTAAGAAATATGCAATGGTAATTGCAAAAGTCTTATTGGTAAATTACTTCCCCCGAAGTATCTTTCAATACATTTATGTAAAAATTTCCAATGTAAATATGTACTGCTATATTAGTTGTGCTCTTCCATCGTATGACAAAATTAAAAACAGAAAGGCGCTAGAAGAACAGTAAATTTTTCACATTTTTTCCCTGTAAATTTCTTTTTCATCAATGTTTATTAACAATTAAACTTAAATATAATTTAAATACCATATTATCTTTTTTGTTCTTCTGATTATGTACACAAACAAATACAATATATAAAAATTTTATCGTTTTTTTTTGCGCCAAGTCTTATAGTATAGTATAAAGAATGGCGACTATAGAGAATAAGCGTATATGTTTGTTTACACTTTTTAATAATTGAACATGCATTTGTATAATCTATGGTGCCTTTAAAGAATAAGCATATAAAGTATGGTACCTTTAGAGAATAATTATAACAATTATAACTGATTTATATTGCTGCCAAGTTTACATCTTGGGAGTTAAACCTGATATTCTGTATATTGTTTACCTTTTGTGCAAATATACTTTGAATTCGGCCTTTGCAAGGCCTCGGAAAGAAATAGGAGTAAACCAGCTAATAGCAGGGTACCACCAGAAATTATAGACGGAACGCATAAAAAATTAGAATGGCCCAAGCCAAATATCACCACATTTGAACGCAACAATAAAAGCCGTCGGCAAAGGTCTTCAACGGAGTTAAACGACCTGTTTCCAAGATATTTGCAGCTTTTTTTTTTTTAATAAAAGGTATTTATTATATAATCTCCTGTTCTATGAAGGTAAATAAATTTAAAGCTTTTTCATTTCGCTGATATACTAGCCTAAAATAAACAAATTTTATAGCAAAGAAATGAAATTATTTTTGAATAAATTTGATTTCAATAAATTTTGCATTTTCGTTGCATTTTCAAATCTCAAGTGCAGTAGAGTTTTTTTTGGTGCCAGCGCTTTAAGAGAAAAGAATTTATTCTCTGGCTAAATTTAAAATAATAGCAATAATAATTTTACAAGTTAGCCTGTATTTTCATATCAAAGTAAGCCTGGCAAAGTACAACAGCTGTAGCAGAACCACATATCCAGCTGCTACGATTTTTTTCCACCACTTCGTCCCAGTTAACAAATGAGAGAGATTTTTTATTCACGATTTCTCTTATTTATTTATTTAATACTTATTAAAAGCAACTCTGTGCATTCACCTCACATAGTATTTTTTTTATAAACGGTGTAGAGGAAAAAACCAGCTAACGGCTTTCTGTGAAACATAAGCAAATTTAGGACGGGCTCTTTGAATTATTCTCAATAAGAAATTTGGCAAGCGCTAAACTAAGTTCCAATTGAAAAATTAAAAAAAAACAACACACTATTAATAAAAAAGTAAAATCATAAATATAAAAAATAAAATTGTATAAATACTCTTTAAGTAGTGTAAGAAAATGTGGAAAAAAATAAAGTACTGACAATTTTTACTGTGTTAAATAAAGAAATTGTAAGAAATTAACAGCAAGTAGATTTTATTTATGCGTACATTTTTATATTTTGATAAGGAGACCCATTTGAGGTGCACAAGTTTGCCTGTGAATATCGTTGGTGTTTCCTTATGAAATAGCCTTCTTAGAATAGAATCAATAAATTGAAGTAATATTCATATTGGCAGCATACAACAACAAGTTAATGCGCCGCCACATTAATGATTATATATACGCCGTTGTTAAATTAAATTAGCAATTTTTTTTTTTTACTCATCTGCGATGATTAAGGCAACAATTTTGTTGTTGGTGTGAAACTGCCACAAATTGATCGACTGGCTTACTTCGATGTAGAACGAAAGTAAATATAAATCTTGAAAATTTCAAATGCACTGCTCCCTTAAAAACTTTCCAGACATTCGTAGAGGTGTTAGTGTGTTGCGGATATATTATACAGTTAAAACAGTTCTTAAATCACATACCCTTAAAAACGCACGTGTAATGAAATCAAACGCATCTATATTTACAGCGTAAGAAAAAAATGTTTGGCTTTTTTAATGTTATCCTGCTAACAAAAACTGAATCCATTTAATTAAAATAAAAGACAATGAGAAAACTAACGAAATTAAAATTTTTCCATTTTTTTGCTTCTCATGCTTTACGGTATAAATCAGCGGTCTCCTCAAATATTATTATTCTATTGCCCTTCTTCTGACAAAAAAAAAAGATTGGAAAATTATGTATTTTTTTGAAGTGGTACAATTGTTACTTACTTTGAAAACAGGTTTTTTAAATTTTTTTTTGAACTCGCACGAAAGAAAGTTTATTAAATATGATTATATGAACTGCACAAAGTTGTGATAAATAAATCAATTTAATCTTCGAATATTATTTTTCTGTTAATCGTTCAATCACATATCTCGTTTACCTTATAATATTATTATCTTTTAAATAAATTTCAAGTATTAAGCTTTTCTATGGGACACTTTTTCCCATCTAAGTTCGCGAACAAATTTCTTTTAAAGCGAACATAAATAAAAAAAAAGTTAAATTTGATTCCATAAAAACCGCAAATAAAAGGTAATTCAAATATAATGAAAATGTATTGATAAATTTCTTACTTACATCCTTATTTGTATTTAATTTTAGATGAAAAGATAAGTAAAAGCCGTTCAATGCCGCTCCCAATTAAACGCCGCTCATTACCGCCTCATTGCTTCCTCGTCCTAAGGTAATTATAATGTTACATAGGTACATTTATAACTTTATTATTATTCTATTTTAGATTGGAATAAAAATCAAGTCCAATTCGCTCATCGCCTCATATAGACAAAGATTCGTTGTATGCCAGAGGGAAATTTGCATTTACCCTTTTTCATTATTATGTATAAATTAATCATTTGCTTTTATTTCGTTTTAGATTAAAGAAACTAGTATACATCTGCATAATGAGCGGGGCGTTATTTATTATTGTAAAAATTATATGAGTTTTAAATTAAGTTTATAAGGGCCTAGGCCTACAGGGGAGTCAGCCAATTGGCAACGCGCCTCTCACGGTACCAGAATTGGTTTACTTCATACGCAAAGATCAATACGTTCATGGTCTAGAGGCTCCCATATATACACATTTCACTTCATCATTTCACGGAATCAAAGTAAAAATTAAATAAGATCGAAGCAGACTAATTGATTACTTGCTTTTGTTATCCCTATTAGATATTCAGACATCATACGGAGCTCTTGGACAAGCAGCGCAATGAGGAACTTTGTCATTTGAGTTCGCTATACCACCCATTGATTTCTAAACAATCTCATCTGATTTGTAAACAATTTCACCTGTTTTCCAATCGAATACGCTATACCACCCATTGATTTGTAAACAATTTCACCTGTTTTCCAATCGAATTCGCTGCA